TAAAACAGTCAAAATAATCAAATGTGAAAATTATGGATTTGAGTTTGGCACAAACAGCAGGAAACTAGAGAAAATTAAAACGTGATTTGTAGTTAGATTAACTTTAATTTGGTCAAAAGGTTTGGATTAATTAGTGCTATTTGACTGATGTGACAAAAACAGAACACAATATTTAGGTGATGCCACAGACTGGTTGCCTCGCTTCTGACAGTGTGCCCCAGGGCAGCTGTGGCTACAGTAGTTTATCACCACTGTGTTTGAAGAGAAAGAATATAGAGAGACTTTGAGCGTCTGAAAAGCTCTGTATAAAACCAATGCATTATTATTATTATTCACATTCCATTTCACACTTAATGATTTAATAAGCTAACACGCTAACATACTAATAATTGACTAGATTCACTTCTTATTATCTATTATTTTCTATAATATTTACAATAGATCCAAGCTATAACATAGATAAGATGCCATTGATTTAGGTATATTTATATTTATACAGTATATAAACACATTACTGCATTATTCTTGCCCATGTTCTGTTCTTCCCTCTGTAAACATGAGTGTGTGACTCGCAGAGAGACTGACGGTGCTAATGTTCAGAGCAGCACTTACAATGTTGTGTTTTTATCCTGCTTGAGGCCGGGTCCTGTGTTTTCAGGATCTGTGTGAGGGATCTGCGTCATAGCCATCACTGTGAGAAATACACACACACACACACACACACACACACACACACACACACACACACACACACACACACACACTCACCCTCACCCTCACACACACACATACACATACACATACACACACACTCACACACACACATACCATACTACACTTATGCACACACATACAAATGTAACATACTTACATACACATACACACACACACACTTACTCACACACGCACACACACACACCATACTCACGTGCACATAAACACACTCAAAAACACACAGATGTACCATACACATAGACACATGGTTCTGCGCCACATGGTACTTTACCAGTGAGATTAGCTCCACACGGTGAGTTCTGGCGCCCGGATCACAGACTTTCTGATTGGTGAAACGGTGGAGGGCGGGACATCGAAATGAAAACAATAAACAAGATTTAGGGGCTGGAAAAGTAATTTAGAAATTCAAATATCTCTGAACGTCTGTGCTCCAGACCCTGGGAGTCGCAAACCTTTAAAGCCATGTCATACGTATACTTATAAACAACCAAATCATTAATCAGAGCAAAACGTTAATATTCAAACACAAATAAAAACAAATACAGTGATAAAAACATTAATCTCATGACATGTTTACAGTTTTTTGGAATCTGCCAAAATACGAATCCAGTCTGTAATAATCCCAGTGACATAAACACAGCTGCTGAAGTGGAAAAAAACCCCCTCAATTGTTTTTTTGTTTTTCTCTTCTTTTTCCATTTGCGCAAGCTGGAACAATCAGGGCTGCAGTGATGTCATTGGCCGAGTGCATCACGTCTCCATGGTTACGCCACTCTGGTGAAGCTGCACGGCTCCTCTCACAGCAGCAGATCTGTGATTCCGACATCTCCCTAATTAAATAAAATCTATTCAACAGTATTGGACCATGTAGTATTTAAAATGTGCTGTAAATATCTGCTTAGCGTGTTAATATTCACAACCGTTTTTATCTCAGTCATTTTCAATTCCCCTTTTCAGTCTAAAATGGTCACTTCCTGTTTCTTTATACGGCCCCCGGTGTATTTATAGGCTGTAATGGTGTGTTCCAGTGCGGTTCTGAGTGGTGTAATGTTATAAAAGAGGCAGAAGTGTGTCCACCTCCCATCTGTTCTCCGTGGCGCGCTCTCTTCCCCCCGTTCCATGACGTGGAAGGATGAGTGGGAGTGGACAAACCTTCTGCTCCCGGAGAGGACTGAGTGGGCCACCGCCATCCGCTGTGAACTCACACTGTACTGCCGGACCAGGAAGAGGAGATGAGGCACTAATGTTGGGAGAAATAGCAGCTATGCATGGTGCACGTTTGTTTATCAGTAATAATGAGCTATGCGGAGAAATACCTTGGAAAAAAATGAGAAAAAATACACGAAAACAAGTGAAAAACTGTTTAAAATATTTAAATTTATCTGTGAAGAGAACTAGAAAATACGACTTAAAATTTCTGAAAATTATAAAATAATACTATCCCCTAGCTACTTGATTCTGGTTTAAAAACATACATTTGAACTATTATTTACTTTTTTTTTCTTTTTTTTTTGATGTTTTCTTAAAATTAGGGATGCACCGAATCCTGAATTTTGGGGTTTGGCTGATTACGAATCTACTGGTTTAGATTCTACCAAATTTGAAACCAAATACTGAAAATTGGACTGAAAGTGCTGCCAAACAACACTTTTTCTGCTCATGAGTTCCATTTTCCCTTTCTCACTCACACAGACTGAGCTACTGCATTCGAACCTGCCACCTACGTAAACACCTTCCTAAAATCAACGGCGGCGTCATGGCGTCGACCAGCGTAGCGTGTATAGTGTAAGCGTAGGGTTCGGTTTGGTGGGGAAAAATTCTAAGGTTCGGCAGAAACCGAACCCTGGCAAAAAATCCAAGATTTGGACGAATCCGAAACCAAATCCTGCATTTGGTGCATCCCTACTTAAAATACAGCATCACAAACTTAATTTATCTAAACAAGAAAAGTATGGAAATAAGAAAAAAATACTTAAAACAAAAATTCATTGTATTTTTTATCTTAAAATAATCTTATGACAAACTACATTCAAACAACAAAAGCGGCGCCCGGATCACAGACTTTCTGATTGGTGAAACGGTGGAGGGCGGGACATCGACATGAAAACAATAACAAGATTTAGAGGCTGGAAAAGTTTTAATGATGACAGATTAGGGCCCTTTAATGATGACAGATTAGGGCCCTTTAATGATCATACATACATCTTACATATTTCTACTTTAAGATAAAGAAATGATATCACAGACCAGTGCAGCACACTTTTCTTGCATTAAAACATTTATAGTTAAACAGACTCAAAAGTGATTCAGAATCAGGTCTTAAATTCTTCTCTTTTGGGAGCTACCTGAAACGGCTGGCTAGCTACAGGTAGCTGCTGAGCCACAGGTTGGAGACCCCTGGTTTAGGATACCACCCCCCCATTGTGCAGTCCCACCCCCCACTTTGAGAACCACTGCCACAGACCAGAATCTGTAAATTACATCTTTATCTGCATTTTCTGATATTTACAATTCATTCTTGTTTGTTCTACATGGTATAGGCTGTGATCATGTGACATCACAAAATGCCAAAAAGCTTACAATTGTGGTAAATGGCAGCTGGGAGATATTTTCTGGTAACTATGGTAACTGTCAAATGTCATGCGTCTCGTCTTAGCTAATTTCTCGGTGTTTCTTGGACCAATCCACATGTCACTGTCAGAACGATCCAGGGCACATGGTCTAATTATGCGTACAAGAAGCGGTGACAATATTACAATAAAACATGCCAGGTTCGTCGTGCCAGAATCTAATTACAATGACAAATATGTAAATGTTCTTTTCCCAACATTTCTGACACTATTATTTGCTTTTGAATGCCATTTTCTTCTAATAAAGCAAGCCTACACCATATAGTGCTTTAGACCTGCAGGCCACTTCCTGCTCCATATCTTTAGTAACACCCCCCTCTGTCTTTTCCATCACAGGCATTTTTACCATTTGTCTAAATCCAGCTCTGAGGTAACAAGTGACACCTCCTGTTTCTATGCTTCCGGTCGCTATAGCAACCTCAGCAATTATGGCACCAGTGGAAAGAGAGAGGAAGTGGTGCTGAGGAGGGCATGTGAGCTCAGAGTGGTCAGGGAGAGGGCTGCAGCCAAACTCTCTGCTGCCCTCTGCTGGACATACATGTACGGACATTAAAGAGATGTCCATGGTTTAGTTTTAGTTCCGTAGGAATTCATTAAAACAATAATAATAATAGTAATAATGCATTGGTTTTTATATAGCTTCAAATGTCATTGTTCTTTCACTCCCTAAACTAATACTGTAGCCACAGCTGCCCTGGGGCACACTGACTGAAGCGAGGCAACCAGTCTGTGCCATCGGCCCCTCCCACCACCACCAACCATTCACACACACACCAGACTCATTCTACTGTGGGGGAAGTGTCTTGCCTAAGGACACAACCACAGTTTGGCACTTTACAGCCGCAGCCGCCCCACTGTGGCACCTGGTGTTCCCAGAGGTCTCCCATCACAGCACTAACCAGGACCTGCCATGCTTAGCTTCTGGGATCTGAGTGGTACTGGGTTTCACCTGCAGATTATGTCACCATGAAAAACAGACCAAAGTAGTAAAATGAACCAGCACCAGTTCCCATGTGTTTTTATTACACAAACAAGTACATTGTAGTTTGCATTTTACATTTGTAAAGTACCATGTGGCCAAGAGAGACCAGAGAGAGACCAGAGAGAGACCAGAGAGAGACCAGAGAGAGACCAGAGAGAGACCAGAGAGAACAGAGAGAGACCAGAGAGAGACCAGAGAGAGATCAGAGAGAGACCAGAGAGAGGCCAGAGAGAGACCAGAGAGAGACCAGAGAGAGGCCAGAGAGAGACCAGATGAACCAGAGAGAGACCAGAAAGAGAGACCAGAGAGAGAGACCAGAGAGAGACCAGAGAGTGACCAGAGAGAGACCAGATGAACCAGAGAGAGACCAGAAAGAGAGACCAGAGAGAGAGACCAGAGAGAGAGACCAGAGAGAGATTGAGAGAGATCAGAGAGAGAGACCAGAGAATGAACAGAGAGAGGCATGACTAAACATGGCTTTCCCGGGGACTGTTGTGTGTGCTGTGTGTGTATGTTGTGTGTGTAGTGTGTGTTGTGTGTGTGTGTGTTGTGTGTGTTAAAACCAGGAGAGACACACACTGCGAGGCCATGCAGGGAATATATTCCTGGAGAACGTGGGTTTCTTTAAACAGCAGTGGATTGAAAAGAGAGGCTTAGAATAGACTGAGTATCCTCTCCAGCAGCAGATGGGCCCCCGCTCCCCGCCACTGGGTCATCGGGTGAGAGCAGGAGGGTGGGTGCAGGAGGGTGAGAGCAGGAGGGTGGGTGCAGGAGGCTGGGTGCAGGAGGGTGGGAGCAGGAGGGTGAGAGCAGGAGGGTGGGTGCAGGAGGGTGGGTGGCTTCTGCAGCAGGACGGATCCAGGAGACGCAGAGTGTGCTACGGGGGCCGGAGGAGCGCACACATCCGAGACTAAAAACAGCCATGACGCACTGAGGTCAGCGTCATGTTCTGTCATCCGCTATTTGTGAATTAAAGGGCCCTAATCTGTCATCATTAAAGGGCCCTAATCTGTCATCGTTAAAGGGCCCTAATCTGTCCTCATTAAAGGGCCCTAATCTGTCATCGTTAAATGGCCCTAATCTGTCCTCATTAAAGGGCCCTAATCTGTCATCATTAAAGGGCACTAATCTGTCCTCATTAAAGGACCCTAATCTGTCCTCATTAAAGGACTCTAATCTGTTATCATTAAAGGGCCCTAATCTGTCATCATTAAAGGGGACCTAATCTGTCCTCATTAAAGGGCCCTATTCTGCCATCATTAAAGGGCCCTAATCCGTCACCATTAAGAGCCCTAATCTGTCATCATTAAAGGACCCTAATCTGTCATCATTAAAGGGCCCTAATCCGTCATAATTAAAGAGCCCTAATCCGTCAACATTAAAGGGCCTTAATCTGTCATCATTAAAGAGCCCTAATCCGTCATCATTGAAGGGCCCTAATCTATCATCATTAAAGGGCCCTAATCTGTCATCATTAAAGGGCCCTAATCTGTCATCATTAAAGGGCCCTAATCTGTCATCATTAAAGGGCCCTAATCTGTCATAATAATAAACTGTTCTTTTCCAATCCTTCTTTAACTGATAACAGTAGTTCAGAGATATTTGAATTTCTAAATTACTTTTCCAGCCTCTAAATCTTGTTATTGTTTTCATTTCGATGTCCCGCCCTCCACCGTTTCACCAATCAGAAAGTCTGTGATCCGGGCGCCAGAACTCACCGCGTGGAGCTAATCTCACTGGTAAAGTACCATGTGGAGCAGAACTAAAAAAGGTCTCGTTATGATTAACGACAAAACAAGGAATAAAACCAGGATTTCTATCTTTGTGAAAAAGGTGTTGGTTATAGATTTGTTGTTGACAAAACTCTTGTCTATTCAGCTGTTATGGTCCCAGCTGGATTCGTCTGCATATCTGGCAACCTGAGTCAGGGAGAGTGGGAGAGGCTGCAGTACCACTTTTGGCCACATTTTTACATACCTCTCCTTTAACAAAACCGCAACATTTAATAAACAATTAATCATTAATCATTTACCACACAAAAACAAGCAACAGGAAGTCACACACTATGAATTTACTTCGACTCAAGTCGTAAAAGTCGCTTTTTTTTACTTTTTATGAAGTAAAAATCTTCATAAAATTTTTTGCAGCATGAGTATTATCTACTAGTATATTACTAGAAGATAATACTAGTTACTTATCTACTATAGTATTTTACAGGTAACCATCTCTGTCTCCAAAAATCAATCACATTCTGGAATATTCATGAAACAGTCTGAAAAGCAAACACGTGTAATGAGAGCATGTCGCCAGCAGAGGGCGACATCCACAACACAAAGCAAAGGGAAGGAGAGCTGCGTGGTCCAAGTGTGTACAAGGATTTAAAAGACCAGGTGCTCAATTGGAAGCGGGGATTAATTTAGGAACAAAAAATGGAGTTTTGATTTTCCAGGTAAAAGGCAAATGCTGAAGATCTTAGAAAATCAAAAATAAAAGGCACTCGTGGTCAATAGTTCTGTATTTTGTTCTTTGAAATCTGTCTTTTGTGTTTTTGGAGCTCCTTGAATCTCAAATGAATAAAGTAAACATTACATTCAGCTTCACTCACTGGAGGAATGAGTTCAAACATTTCTAAACTTCACTCATTCACATAAAATCTAAGAATTCTTCTGAACTTCTGTCATTGATAAATGTCCTTAACATTTTTACATTTACACAGAAATATCTGAATGTTTTCCCTGGATTTTGTTTTATTTTTAGTTTGTCTGGTGTTTTTGTATAAAATAATAGTGATTTGTGTTTTTAGGCCTATGTTTTGTTTGTATAATGTTTGAATCTATAATAATAACACTAAACTTTCTCAAGGCAAAAAAAAATATAATAATTATATATGTTTAAAAAAAATGTCATCATACTTATCAACAACAGCAACAACGATAAAAATGATGATAATAATAATAATAATAATAATAATAATATAGATATTATGAATGGTTTTCTTTGGTGGCCTTGGTTTCAAAAGACCCCCGTGGTCCTCAGTGTTCCTCTTAAATCACAATCATTCATTCATTCATTTTTTCCCCCTTTATTAGTCCATTTCTGGGCCGGGAGGGTGACAATCAGAGCTGCCCCCAACTCTCACAGCACCGGCCCCTCTGATCCTCTGCAGGGAAGATGGCTGCTCCGTCAGTGGTGCCTGTCACTCCCGTATTCGTCCCGGAAACCGGATTCGTCCGGAAGTTCAGTTTGCGCATGTCAAAAAGTTTAATATGTCCTTAAGTGGTGACTGGTCAAATTTAGGCGTCTGATTAAGATGGTTAAGTTTAGGGTTAAGGCTGGGTTTGGGTTATTTTATGGGAATGGCTGGTTAAGTTTAGGCATGAATAGGTAGTTTTTTATATTTACTTCCGCTTCCGTCCCGATTCCGTGACGTAATCTACTGCTGCGTTTGCTCATTGGATCAAACTGAACTTCCGGACGAATCCGGTTTCCGGGACGAATACGGGAGTGACAGTGCCAGCGCCTTGGTGTTTCAGAGTTTTAACAGTTCAGTTTTTTCACATGAAACTGTTAAAACTCTTTCAGTTGTGCAGAGTAAGAGTCTCGCTGTGACTGTGCTGCCCCCTTGTGGCTGAAAGTCTTCTTCAGCATCATGTCCATGGTTTGACCAAAGAAGCTGAGAATGAGATATTTTCAAACTGAATCACAAACTTTCATTGGAAAACCAGTCAAAGATAATTACTTTTAAAATGTTGTTGTTGAGAAGGGCAGGGCCTGGTTAGTACAGTGATGGGAGACCTCTGGGAACACCATAGTACCTAACTGGTGTTGTGTCCTTAGGCAAGACACTTCCCCAACATATGTCTGGTGTGTGAGTGAATCGTTGGTGGTGGGAGGGGCCGATGGCACAGAAGAGTAGCCTCGCTTCTGTCAGTCTGCCCCGTGTGGCAGCTGTGACTGTTGCAGTAGTTAACCACCTTTTTATAGAGTTTATAGAGTACTTCATAAACAGAATATTAGGCTAGCTTTTACTGTCTGAACATATGACAGGGTCCAAAAATACTCTAATTTTTGTATTATTCTTGCGGTTTTTAAGATTTTTTCCCAGTGCTATATATGTTATTATTCCTTTCTCATACTTTGATGTGAGCCTGTGAAATCTGCACCTGCGGACTGCCCCGCCCGACCCGCCTGGGAGTGCTTCAGTCCTGCACCGGACCTGTCCACGTTCAGCGGCCACTGGTCCACGTTCTGTAGCTTAGGTCCTGGATCTACAGCCTCAGTCCGTCTGTGGAAGCGGATCCCTTTCTCAAACCATGGGTCTCCCTGAGGTTTCTCACTTTTTTCCCACTGTTTTTTTCTTATGAGTTTTTCCTTGTTGATGCAGGAGGGTCTGTTGGACAGTTAGAACTAGAAGGACTGTGATGATCCAGGACACTTTAACATTCTACAACATGTATGACATTTATCAACATGTGTTCTATATTATTTTTGTGTGTAAACTGTTGATTCTCTGATCTGTGTTGGTGATTTCAAAGGTTTTGTTAAGTCTCTGAGATGCCGTTGTGATTTAGGGCGATACAAGAATACGTTGCTGTTGTTGTTGTTGTAGCCCTAGAACAAAGTATTATAACAATTACTCTGAGAAGTACAGACTGAGCTGATTGTAATGAGAATAAAGTGAATCTTACAGAGAGTGGGCGGACTTGCTGCTGGTAATTCCCGTGTGGGCTTACGTACTTCATGGTCGTCTAAATTGGATTCAAGTTTGACCCGGAGCAAAGCCACAGGTTCCTCCCAGAGTTTACAGGGTCCGTGACCGGAGGAGTTATGTGGGACGGCCTCCGCCACACGTTTGACCGAGCTTTAGTTTAAAAACCCAGAGATTGCATTTTCACAGACAACTTCATTACATTACTTTAAAACACAAGATAAGAGAGAATTCATTGATCTCTGATGGACAAATGTGCATGTCATATTTGGCACAGATAGAATCACTCAGATTGTGCAACAGACAGAAGTGTGAAAAGATAGATAGATTCATAGATAGATAGATAGTATTAATCAGCCACAGTCCTTCAGGTCACAGCAAAGGTTAAACCATTGGTCTGGACCAGTGTAAAACCATGAATCCTCTCTGCTCTGGTCTGGACCAGTGTAAAACCATGAATCCTCTCTGCTCTGGTCTGGACCAGTGTAAAACCATAAATCCTCTCTGCTCTGGTCTGGACCAGTGTAAAACCATACACACTGAACTGTAGCAACATCTCAGGCAGAAAAAACACAGTAAAACACAAAACAACAACAGTTTCAGAGACACTCAGGACTTTCTGCCGTTTTCCAGAACCTTCAAAAGTAAAAAAGGTAAAAAATATAGCCTGTGTTTTATTTCCACTGGTAAAACTGGACGACCATGAGCAGGACTGCAGGCTGAGATGAGTTATGTCACTGGTTTAGGTGTGTCTGGTGTCTGCATGAGGCCTGAGAACACCGACCTCTGGAGCATTAGTGCAGTCGGTGCTGAAGACCCGAGCCCCGCTGATCCAAGATGGCGTCCTGTTCAAATGAATGGCTTGTGCTCAGTAGTTCATGGGACTTCACGGGAACCGAGAGATTAGCGGAACTTGCCTATATTTGGGCATCGTCTGGTCCTCCCGGTTCTGCGCAGTGGACGAGCTCCCATGATGCTTTGCGCCAAATACGCGTGTGTGGCTCTCGTGCACGTGCACAGAGGAGCTCGGCCGCGCTCTGACCAATCAGAGAGCAGTGTTCTGACCAATCAGAGCTGATCAGAGCAGCAGCAGGGCGGAGTCAGAGCGAGAAGGAAAGGAGCAGAGTTTGTGGCAGTAAAGTGTGGATTTAAAGAAAACAGAAGGATTTAAGAAGAAAAAAAGTTCAGGACGACAAGAGACACTAACATCCCCACAAAATCTGATCTTTATGAAAGCTGTAGGTTCTC